GATTGTTTTGCCTGTTCCTCCAACTCTAAGCCACTTCAGGTGATGCTTGCCTGTACCACTTGCAATGGCCCCGAGAGCAAAAACGATAGAATGCTAAATGCTAGGCACTATGCTAGGCCTGCTATGCTTGATTATGCCTCCAGCAGGATCTGACAATTATTAAGTATGTCGCATCCTTTTTGGAGCATTTACCAGGATGATCGAAACGGCAAAAATCATGTTTCAAACATATGCCTTCACCACATCATTTCCCAAAAGCAGCGTCTTGCATGGTGACAAGAAGGAAGCCGCCAAACCTTGTGGTGACCATGGGGCACCTAAATCATATCCAAATAAGCATCCAAATGATTGACGTCTTCCCGGCACAGTTTTGCAACAACCCTTGAATCGGCATGTGTGTTCTATTAATTTGGTGCGCTTTCATTGTTTTGTTCACTAGAGAACTGACAGTCCGATGCCCCTGGCATCCAGGTATATCCAGGTCTTGAGGTACATCAAGCGCTCCTGACCCTGGAGGGCCGACCAAGATCCAAAGATCTCTTGAGAAGAGTACTGCCTCAAGCCGTCACGGTGCATGACCAATGAGTGACTTGAAGTTAGTCCCGAAGAGGACCATTACAATAGCTCATTCATGTCAGGTCAAAGCAAGCTACCCTCCCTGAAACAGCCATGGAAGTGGAACAGCTTCGGGCCCTCAAACATGGTTTTCCTCTGCAGTCTGGGGTTCTGCCCAGCTTGAAAAGGATCTGAGGCAAGCTGCTCATGGCCATTGCTTGAGATCTTCCAGCCAGATGTATCCTTGTTATAGTAGAGGTCGATGAGGCCCGCCTGGTTTCCATCAGTGGCAGCCTTCAACCTCGTCGTGACCGGACAGAAAGTTGGGGCGACACACGTTGTCATCCCGAAAGCAAGCAGAATCAACGGAGGCAACAAAAGGAAAAAAATGCATCCTTTGGTTGACCACCAAATGAACAGAATAGGCATGCATTTAATATGATATAATGGACATGGACTTGTTGACCTTTGGGATTCAGCTTTGCAAAAGCATGACGGCATGACTCTCCCGTGGCGAAACGGCGGAAATGGCGGAAAACATCGAACACATGGCCAAACGCTGGAGCTTCGCGTAGAATGTACAAGTATCATCAAGTAACATATCCCAGACACTCCATGTATGCCATATATGCCTACATTAACCCCTCAAACCACCCCAATGTAGGCATATATGGCATACATGGAGTGTCTGGGTATTAAAAACTGAAAACTGCGCGATTGACGAAGAAACATGTAGTACTCCTTTGCAGGATCAACCCAGGTGTGGGCAGCATTAGGCACCGACGGTTGATACTCGCCGTTCACGGCCGCCGTCCCAGCGCCGGTCACGTAGACAGGACTGCGACTGACCTGGGGTGGAGGCTCCTGGCAATGATGTCATTAAAAGAGATCCGGAATTGCAAAGGACGTCTTGGCACACCCCAACAAACATAGCGCTAGACACTATATAGATTTATATAATTACATATTACAGTATAGCATCTATAACATCTGAGATACCAAATGGCTTGCAATGTGTGAAGTAGCAACTGAGAATCTAAACAAAAACCCTGCGTTGTGAAAAAGACAAGGACTGAGCTGTTGTCTTTTTAAAGGGGTCGTGTTCCAGTTCGTTTGACGAGTTGGAATGTCTGTGCGACTACCCACAAAATCGAAGAACAACCGCAGCCAATCCAGGTGTGATGGGGACTTCCAAGAATTGGCCCCAGTCTTTCTCGGGCCTATGATCAGTGCACCCCTTTCTTTGGAATCCGAACACAAACGTGTTGGTTTCGTGATGAGTCTCCTTTTTGGCTTTGGTTTTGTGATGTTTTGCCATTAGTCTCCCGGTATATATCCCCCTCTTCCTTGGAATACTTTCCAAGAATGGCACCGCTGCTCCTGTCCATTGTTGGCGACCGACCAAGTGGCAAAGATCCCAGAGGAGGAGTACTGCCTGAGACAGGGCATGTTGGACGTGACCCAGCGATAGGATTAGAATGGATTAGACATTGCGATGGTGGTGAGTGGTTCAGCCTAGGGCCCAGACCACAAAAACATACAAAGCCCGTGCCTAATAAACGAGTCTGCGCATTCTTGGGGATGGCTTTTCTGGGTCAAGAGGTTACATCGGAAAGCTTTAAAGCTACGGTCACAATTCCTTCCCGGTCCTGATACCCAAATGCAAAACAAAATCAATCACTTCCTGGAAAAAGGTCAAGCGCTTCACGCTTCACACGACCGGGCAAGCTACTCATGGCCATTGAGCGAAATCTTCCATGCAGATGTATCCTTGTTGTAGTAGAGGTCGATGAGACAAGCTTGGCTCCCATCAGTAGCCTCCCTCAACCTCAGTGATGACAACCAGCTCATACAAGGAGGCACTGCCACCAAAAGAAGAGTGAATATATCTTGACATATGTTTGACCAACATAGACTCCAAAGCCACGTGCATTCTCCGATCCAATTTTGATCTCTGGAGTAGAGCCAGTTTCTGTCAAAATGTGCGGAAACACAACAGGTGTACCATATTTGGACGAAACTTCTACGGACGATTCGATCTACGATACATACGGACGGCATTGGCATCGACAGGCCAAAAGGTCAGGGGCGAAAGCAGGTTTAGGGGAAGGTCAGGGGAGTTAGTCCTACTGTAGCGGCAAGCAGCGGCGGTTTTTCCTGAGGAACAACCATTCAACCAAAATGAACCTAAGCAACTCGCACGATCCTTGGGTTGTACTTAAAGGCACTGTGATTCTTCAGGCTTGTCGGGATCATAGCAGCTACGCCTTCCTTCACTTTCTAGCCACGGCTCAGTGCGTGTCAACAACATAGAAGCACACAGAAGACGATGAAGAAGGAGCAAGCAACACAAATAGCAAGACAACGGAGGAGTTGTAACTTTGCTCACAACAATTGTCAAAATTCAGAGCATATAAATACTGAAAGCCTTGATGATCGGCAATGTTGGCCTGCAGGAGTTGTAAACTCATGCCATGCAGGATTCCGCACGATTCGGCACACAAAAGGGTACCTGAAACAAGCAAAGACACACATCAGAAACACAAAGAAACAACATCCAACATGAACATGTGTGAGAGACAAAAAATTACAGTATCTGACTCTGAGCAACACATAGTAATCTAAGCCGGTCTCTACCCAGCTGTGGGCAGGGTTGGCTGCAGCCAGGAAGTAAATGCCATTCACAGCGTCCGTCCCCGCGCCAGTCACAGAGATGCTTTGTGTAGTGCCATGGCCATCAGTTGGTCCTCAGCGCGGCCGAATGGCCACGGTCTGCACGGGTGCAGCGGTTCGGTGTGAAACCGGGCCAAATGGTTCAGTCAAGGGAATGAGTAAGCGCTCTTTTTCTGGTGTGCTTATAGTGGAACTAAAGGACACAAACAAGAAACATCATCAAAAAACAAAACAATCTACCATGATCTACCAAAGCCGTGTTGCTATTTGTCGTGCAGTCATGTCGACACACGTGCAAATTTATTCCATAAAGTTAAATAAACTATATAGTAATTATTGCCTTCTGAAACATCTCATTCAAACCACGGCGTTCACACAACACAAACAGTCCATCCAACAGTTCCTCCGGTGCGGACCGGGGGATCTGGCTGAACGTGGACGTCCTGGCTGAAGGGATCTGAACATGGAACAGTCGAAGGCACGGAAGGCAAAACCATGTGTTCTGTTCACTATGTCATTCTATCTCATCATCCACCACAAGGCAAATCTTCTTGCAACTGGAAGTCCGTCGGCTGAAACGAACGCACAGGGCAACAGCAGTAAAAGCCAGGTGAACATAGCGCGGCCCAGGCGGGGCTGCAGCGTCAACCGGCGCAGTTGTGAGACCGCTGAGCCAATGGGCTGAGCTGTAGGATTTCTGTGGGTTGAGCCAAACACATCCAAAAACAAGCACCAAGCGCTCCCAAGTTTTGCAGTCAAGTAAGGATATTGAATGACAGGAAAAAGCAGAAATCGGGGCGGTGGGGGGGCCCACGGAATTCCAACAACCTGCGTAAACGCAGCGATGCCCCAATTTGTTGTCTCTCTGGAGGTCATTTCACTATGTTAGGGACAGATTGATGATACTTATAGATTATGGCAGTAGGTGCCCATTCGGGATCGCCACTCTCCCAACAAGTCCCAGCTCCGAACAACATATCTTCTTACTGAAGGAGAAGTGCGCTCCTTGAAATAATCATGGAAGTGGACAACCGCCGACAACCACCTCTGTGGTATTCGGAACATGGTTGTCCGAAATCGGGGCCATCCGCTTCCACCATGCTTCTGACAGGGAGTCTAAAACAACTTCCACGGATCGAACATGATCCAACGACTTCCCGGCGCTGCCATGGTTTGGATCATTCTCGAAGGGTTAATACATATAATGGCGCATCCTTCAGATCAAACTTCCAGCAGGAAAATACTGGTCTAAAACATCGAATCTAATCTAATCAAACATGTTTGGCGCTGCGCCTGGTTTGGCACGAACATGAAAACGATGAAAAACGAACATCCCAGGAAGCTCTATAGGTATACTTCAGCCCGACCTCATAGACTTTCTGCCAACTCCCAATCTCACCATATCTCACCTGCCACCCCAAGACCAGGGATCCTCCTAATTCTGTGCTAGTTGAAGTGCTATGGCATATCTGGATGCCTCAAGCCCAAAAAATGAAACAAACGTTGGTTCCAAAGCATTCGATTGCAAAAAACTTCACTTTGGGCTGGTCTAAGGCTATCTAGCTTTTGGGGAGCAAAGCTGGCAATAATGATTCATCCATATTCATCCCTTCATATCCCTTCCATGCAAGTGTTGACTGGCATACTGGCATGCCACAGTGTCCATCAGGATTCCAATCAGAAAACCGCCTACTTCACACCCAACATCTGGCCCGACGGTCTCATCACCCGGCCGACCGGTCCATCCTGTCAGACCGCCTCGCCGACCGCGCCTCGCACTTGGCGCTCAGCTGGCCGTTGAAGATGTTCTCCGAGATGCAGCAGCGTTCCCAGGCGTCTCCGTCGTTGTAGTGTAGGAAGACCAAATCCTCCGCGATGCCGTCTTCTCGCGCTCGGTCGGTGGAGTGGAGCGGTCCAGTGTTGGTCGTCCTTGTTCTGTAAGACCGCTCCTGCTTCATTAAGTAGGCGCCTACTCAATTAAGTAAGGGAATCAGCTACTAGCTACTTAAGCTACTACCTACTGGGCGCAGGATAGCTCACGCTTCTTCAAGGAAGCTCCCCCCGCGTGAGGGCGGAGGGGAGATTCCTTGAAGCGCTCGCACTGATCATTTGCATCCAGATGTTTAGGGAAACTTAACTGGTCGGTCCATTTGCGTCTATTATAGGCTAGGGAGGAAGAACCAAATATATGGTACTTACTTTGTAGGTGAGTGCAAGGTGCGAAGCCAAGACGGTGGATTGGGATCAGGATGGATCAGGTGAAAGGCAGCCTCTCTAGTTCATCACAAGACTGGTCCTGCAGTGGGCAAAACATGACGCTCGGTTGCAAGCTCTTCTTCTCCTTGGAGTTGCTCAAGGCGCTCAAAGCAGGCAATGGTATATACCGTTCTATTGTAGAAGACAACCCGCCCGGCAAACAATATAAAGACAAAGGAACAATTAGGACACATTGGGGGAAAAGACGAGCAGAACTTCAAGCCATGCCATGCGTCCAACGCCTTCAGAATCCGTCGGCACTCCTCTGGATGCGGGCGGCAATTCCGTGCTGCTCCACCATCCACTAAGGAGGGCATCCAGTTCCTGGGCCATTGGCGCCGTCCCCCAGTCCCCCGACCCGCTGATGATGGTGGAACCACCCACACATCCGGTGGTGGAACACCCACCACGAAGGCCGGAAGTGCAGAAGTTGCGGCACCGTCCTGACTCCCGGTCGGAACAGCCATCGACAGATCCAAATGCTCCAACGACTCTCCTCCTCAAAGCCATCTTAAAGGGATTCAGTTTCGGTGAGTCATTTGAGCAAGTGAATTCGCTATCCTCTGACAAAAGGGAGTGTCTGAAACTGTTAGAATCCTCCAAGGGAACTCCCAAGGCACAGCATGGCACCAAAAACAAGAGCTGACTGGAGTAGGTGGATCCCGGTTTCGAGCTTCAACCATCTCCTCAGAAAGTATGAACTACCAAGCTGAAACATTCCCAGTCCCACCAAAGGGTATGTGGAAAGTAATAAGGGCTACCAGCCCTGAGAAAACCCTGTTTCACAACTTGGCAGCCCATGGCAGCCCTGTAAGCTCCAACGGGGGACCGCACCGATACATGATCCATTGATTTGAAACTTGCTTCACCTGTCCTGTTCTACCTGCTTTGACCAAGCATCAAAGAGCACTTGCTCGGTGGAGCCCAGCTTGGCACTCCAGGCTCATACTGAGGCATCCCAAGCGACCCAGCGGTACAGTCGATGTAGAACCCTGTGGGCCCCATGGCGATCGGTCTGCGATCTGGTCGTGGGTGCCAAAAGGGCTGCTCAGGCTGCAGAGCCGGCTGGATCGGGTTAGGTACTCGCCATCTATGATGGCCCACATGAGGGTCGGAAAAGGGTTTGCAAGTTTGCATGCTCTTGGAGTGAAGGGCTTCAAAGGATCTAGAGTAGGCATGCTGCACAAGTGGAAGCAGGCTACTACCTGTGAGGGCAAGCTTTGTGCCCAGTTTTACCATTTGAGCCCTAGTTTTGCAGGTAGCTGAGGCAGGTGGGTACTGAAAATCGTCCAAGGCGCTTTGGAAACTCCGAGCTCAAAACTTCTGACTTCTGTCTCCTCTTGTTTCGCGGTCTGGGCGACACAGAAAAACCTGAGGTCTCTACGATGAATTCGCCTCAGGAAGGCGAAGGCGAAGCCCACTCCAGTGTTTAAAGCCGGATGTTTGGACCAACAAGACTGCTGTGCTATAAATACATGTCTGTTCTATACTGACTGCACGTGTTTAAGCCAGTCACTTCAAGACATCCCGGCGTTCGCTCTGCACCGCGTTGGCCAAGGCACGCTGTGCGAGTTCAGGCTGGTCTGGGTTCTTGTCAGGGTGCCACCTTGGACGGGTCACCGTCGGAGATGGTCAACCGGGTCCCGGTCGTTGGATGGGTCAGTGCTTTGGGCGGATCTTTTGGAGGCTTCCGGGAAGGGCACCGTACTTGCTCTAAGCTTTCAAAACAAAAGGCAATATAATATTTCTAAGATTTTCTAAGCGACCGAAGCGCAGTATATAGGCACCAAGTGTAGTGTACGCAACGAAGCGCCAACCGCACAAACCCCTACGGCCCTACATCAAGCACATCAAGGGTATAACTATGCTTCTGCACGATCTGCACAACAGGATCAGACCCCAAAGAGGCACCCAGTCAACCACATGGGTGTCCCTCCATGACACGGTTTGAAAAGAGTATATATAGAATGGTATAACATAATGTAAATATGTATAACTGTATAACTGACAACATCCAAGGAACACACAATTGGATACAACCGTGTCTGTAAAATAGGGAAGGCCCAACAGCTGGTACACATGCTGGTACATCTTGATTCGTAAAATTGGTCGTTTGATTCTTGCCATCTTTGTGGCGGTGTTTGTGTCTTCTCTGCCAGAAGGCTCAATCAATACAGTTCATGCACCCCAAACCAAGAGACACATTGGCACTCGGATGTGCAAAAAGACGGCCCATCTAGATTGGTGTAAAGACTTAGAACTCTGATATAAATAGTATGGACTATAATAGTTAGGGTTGCGATTTGAGGATTCCCAAACTCCTCCAATCTTATCCAATGTTTAGGTCCTTTGGTCTAAACAGGCCGCTTTAAACCTTATTAACATGAACAAGAGACAAACAAGCCAAGCCATTCCCTGTTTATATCCGTTTTGGTCCTTCATGGGGTGCCCTGTTTGGCACCGGACGGCGTGGAGCGAAGAAAATGGTCGAATGTGTCTGGACGGATCTCAGCCCTTGCAGGTGCTTTCTTACAATTGCAAGTGCTTTCCTGTGCTTTTCTTATATAATTGCATTTGTATGCATTGGTTGGTTTCTTACTAACATAACGGAGAAACATGATGACTCCGCCTCCGCAGTCCCTGGTGAATCGCGCTGATCTTGTGACATGATGACAAGCAGGTGGGGTGTGTTGAAAGAAGCACTTGGGGTAATCACCACATGACATGTTCCTTTGCGCTTCAAGCCACTTCAGGGCCAACTTCTTGTAGGCGCGCTTGATCTCAGCCTCTGAGGCATCCTGTCTCAAGGCTGACGAGAAGGACTTGGACTGTTCAGAGCTTGATCCGTCACCATGCGTCTTGAGTCATCGTGCATCTCGAACATCAACTATGAGTAGACTTAAGAGAGAAAACCTCTTCTTGGTTTGGATGGAAACAAGTTCTTTTGGGCACTCTATTTACTTGTTGTGGCAACACGTGGATCCCATGTAAAAAAAAAGGCCAAACCGGGACCGTGTCGCTAGCGTCCTTTGAGACGTCAAGGACCTCATAGTAGTCCTGCGGTTCTCGGCCGGACCGTGGCTCTCGGAAGATGGGGAGTGGGGACAGCTCGGGTCACGGTCTTAGACTCGTTGAACCCGTTGGGTTGCTAGCTGCTGTTCTGGTGGGGCGCAGGATGCGCAGCACGTCCATGATGGACACGTGTGTTTTTTTTGGGTTTCACTTCTGGCTCACCAGGTGAGGGCAGCATTTGAGGCACTGGTGGAGCTACTCCACACTTGGGACACCAAAAAGAGCAAGCATCGGAAGGCATCACTTCCAGATACTTCCATCATCCTGACACAGTCTGGGAGGTGAGAGGAGCTGCAAATCCTCCAAATGGCTTACGAAACGCCTTTCCACAGCATTTCTTTGCCCTAGCCCCAGTCCTTCTGTTCTTTCCGCGCGTGCAGGAGCAAGAGCGACTGGGCGGAGTGGGCGTTTGCGGAGGGGCTGCTTCGCACCCAAATGAGGACGGTCCCCTCTCGTGTCTGCAGCAATGATGAGTGGTAGCAAGTCGGTCTTCTAGTCATATAGATGACTGTAGAGATTCTAGCACACAAAAGGGCAATGAGTACGCCCTCATGGTCGTCTCTCCAAACCACAAGAAGAAGCCGGATAAACAATCAAACTCCCTGAGATTATCGATTTCACTCACACCCGTCGTCACGACGCATCAAGTAGGACTTCGAAGACAACGACCAATCACATGTCACCCAATTTTGGGAAACAAGTATGGTGACATATAGTCACTATAGTGAGACTATAGTGGCAGTGGTGGCCTGGTCTATCCGACCAGGTGATTCTCCCCTCGGCCCAGCAAATCAGCCGCGCGGCCAAGCAAATCAGCCAAATTCGGGGGCACCTGCTCGAACATGGCAGTGCTCCGGAGAAAAGCAAAGGGAGCAACCCTCGGATGTACTGGGACGTTCAGGTATTTCAGGGAGCGCGCAAATAATTCGCGAAGAAAAAACACATGCACCTACTATTAGCCTAATAACATTAATTGGAGCACAGAACGGGGTCAACCACTCCGTTGGAGTCGACACTGTATATATTACGGGGGATGGATGCATCGCATCATCATCCACAGAATTTCCACATCCTGGAGCTGTGAGAAATCAAACCAACGGCGCGACCAGTTTTCGTTCATTGCCGCACATGGAATCGACATGATGCAGGTGAATTCCAGCCACCAGTGTTTTCATCTTTGGATTCCAGTTGCAACATCAGTCCACCAGTTTCAGAACGTGAACATGGAAGTGGACCTTTTCGATGACCATTTGACAAATACAAAGCAGGTACTAAAGCAGGCGGTTTCCTACAAACAAATATGTCCTTTATTTCAGGAAGTGTACCAATCCCCTCGTTTTTTGCGTTGGGATAAAAGATCCGATAATTTCAGGGGTGATGACCACTGGCCGAGAAACCTAACGACGAGCCGCCAAAGAGAACACAACACAACTCAGCGACTTGAATGGTCAAGGCGATTAGAAAACACCAAAAAAATCATTGAGACTTGTGTATAGCTAGACCATCCAAAGGGTGTTCAATGGAGATCTCTAAGTAGTGTAGGGATGTGTGGGCTAGTCTATTGGACACCCTGTCAGGATGGTCCTGCTACTTCGTTCTGTTTGGTTTATGAACGACGGCGCGACCGGTGGTTTCAACCAGCCGACCGGTCGACTGAGTGGACTGGTCGGGCTCCGCTTGAAGCCGAGCTGGAAGAAAGGAGCATGGGTCAACTCATGTCAACTCTCAACCAGTTAGTACTGTTTGGTAAACCATCCATGTCCAGTTCCCACTTGCCTCTAGGTGATTGGTTCCACGCAAAACTCAGTTGAATTACTACTGTTGGGATGTCGTGCTCCGTCTGCTTTTTCCTCTGGGCACCGGTCACGCTCTTTTGCAACAAGGCCCCCCACCAGCGGGAAGCGGCCATTTGCCATCAGATGGCCCGGCACACACCGACCAGGAAGTGGTTGGGCCACCCAAGCTCTCTGAGAGCTGCTTAGGCTAGCATACATTGCTAGTTTCATTGGCAGCAGTACTGACGTGAGAGTCATCCGACGCTGTTTCTTGATGTGCTCCCCGGAGTTGCATCTCTTGTGTGATCTGCCAGGTAAAAAACCACAAAGGCTGGACCAAGCTCTGCTGGCTTTGTGCCAGTTTGCCATGCTTCTGAAAACACTACTTGGATTCCCTGAAGGTCGCCCGGGACACTTGGACGGTGGTTACGGGTGACCGGTTACACGACGCAATTCTTCTCCGGGGCCGGGCCTTGGAGAAAAAGAATGCAACCATTTTCAGAAGAACCCCCTGAATATCTCTGAACTCTCTGGCATCATTGCTGTTGCACTGACACGGAGCAGCTGACACGGCGGAGTACACGGCACGGATAGAAAATGCCGAGATGAGTGTGATCGATATGCCAAAGCAGGAATTATAGGTGGTCGTACTCCCACGAGCTACAAATGGGTGTGGTGGGTCATGTTGCTGAAGTGAGGTGAAATGTCCTTGTTCTATGGTGAAGTGGTAGGTAATAAGCCAAATTCATCCAAAACGGCGCGCTACTCTCCCTGGAACTAACATGGAAGTGGAGAATGGCTCCTTGGAAGACGACTTTCCTCTACAAACAGATGGTTTTTCACTTCCATGTTAGTTCCAGGGAGTGTAATTGATTTGAATCTGACAGCAAGTCTTGCACGCCGGTCCCGGCGCGACGGCGGGAACAGCGCGGTCTGCGTGCGACGCCACCTTTTGGTCTGGAGAGATGTATTTTCGGCGCGCAGTCAGCATCGCCCCGCGCGGCCTCTGACCCGCGGCCCAGCTGTTCGGATTCCTGGAATACTTGAAATTCAGCTGGACAAGGGGAGGTGCTGCCTCATCGAATTGTTCTCACCAAAATTAGGTCGACACATCCAACGGGTGCGGCTCAAAATCCAAAAGGATTTTGATTCTCCCTTCACCTCTGGAAGAATTTGCTCTAAGTTTAGAGATGTTTGGAGGAGCTTTTTGAGCCAC